CAGCGAATCCTGGGTGCTCGCCCAGCTCGGCGGTTACTACACGACCGCAGAGACCAACTCCGCCATCACGGCGGCTCTGGCCGACTACTTCACCAGGGCGGAGTCCACGGCGAACATCGTGGCGGCCATCGGGTCGGCCAACACCTACACCGACACCCAGCTGGCCGACTACAGCACCACGCTGCAGATGACCCAGGCCATCGCCGATGCGCTGGCGCCCTACGGGACCATCGTCCAAAGGGACGCAGCGATAGCTGCAGCCCTGGCGGCCTACTCGGACACCGCTGCGATGAACGCCGCCATCGCGGCGGGGCTGGCCACCATCGACCTGAGCCCCTACTGGACGATAGCTCAAGTGCAGGCGGCCATCACGGCTGCGCTCGTGCCCGTCACCCTGAGCAACGGCCAAACCTGGAACGGCGGGGCCACGTTCGCTTTGCTCCGGGGCACGAATGTGCTGCGCAACCTGTCCGTGGCGGGGGCCCTCACCGCCAGCTTCCAGAACCTGGACGACACGATCCTGATCGAGTCCGACAGCTACGCCCGATCCGAGACCTACACCCAGCTCGAGACCGGAGCCGCCATCACGGCGGCCATCGACGCCCTGGACCTCTCCCAATTCCAGAACGAAGCGGACGTGCTGGCCCTGATTAGCACCGCGCTGGTGCCCTACTGGGACCAAAGCGAGGTCTCGAGCTTCGTGGCCGGCGAGCTCACGAACTACCAGACCAGCGCCCAGGTGAGCTCGGCCCTCTCCTCGGCTCTGTCGAGCTACGACAACAGCACCCAGGTCGACAACAAGATCATCACGGCCCTGCTGGACTTCTACACCAGAGCAGAAACGGATCAGGAGATAGCCAACGCGCTGGGCAACGTGGACCTGTCGGGCTACTACGACCAGGCCGGGACGCAGGCCTACGTGGCCAACGAGCTGCTGGCCTATTATCCCCGGACCGAGCTGGACTCCCTGCTCACGGCAACCTTCAGTCAGTACTGGACCAGCGGGCGCACCCAGACCGAGATTAACGATGCCGTCGCCGGCTTCCTGGACCAAACAGCGGGGGACGCCCGCTACTTCGTGAGAGCTCCCGGCGCGGAGTCGGGGCAGATCTTCAACTTGGTGCAGGAGCAGTTCACGCCCCGCATCGTGCGCAACCTGCTGCTGGAGGCGCCGCTGGTGGGCGACGCGATTCTGGGCAACCAGTCCACCCTGCGCATCCGGAGCGACAGCTGGTCCAAGGCCGAAGCGGACGGCCGCTTCCTGCGCACGAACGACCTGGGCCCGCTCGATGCGCGCTACTTCGTGACCACTCCCGGCGCCGAGGGAGGAGGCATCTTCAACCTGGCGCAGACCCAGTTCACTCCGAACATCATCCGCAATTTGCTCTGCCAAACGCCCCTCTCCGCCCAGCCCATCCTGGGCAACGGCAGCACCCTCCAGATCTCCTGCGACTGCTGGAGCAAGGGCCAGTCGGACGGGCGGTATCCTCTGGTCGCCACCTTCAACAGCCTGGGCTCCCAGGTCAATGGCATCGACACCCGCGTCACCGCCCTGGAGAACACCACGGTGCCGGACCTCGACACTCGAGTCACGACTCTGGAGAACAGCGGCGGGGTCGCCCCCACCGCGGACTTGACGGTCAACTCCCTGACGGCCACGAGCTTCGTGGACGCACCCGAGCTCCGGAGCTCGGCGGGGGACCTGCAGGTCCAGAATGCACTGGTCACCATCCGCAAGGAGGACGGGGCGCTGCTGGCCTCCTTCGCCGACGGCGGCATCAGCATGGACCGGGACGTCACGGTGGCCGCGGCCAGCACCCTCAACGCAACCACGGCGGACTTCGCCCAGTTCTTCGTGGGCAGCACCGCCGCCACGGGAGCCTTCAACACCAGCTCCACGATCGCGGCCACGGGCCTCATCTCCGCCAACGGCGGCCTGGCCGTGGCGGGCACCACCACCTCCGACAGCGTGGAGCTCACCACGGAGCTGCGGAGCCCCATCGTGAAGGCCCGGCCCACGGACGACTACCTCACCATCACCGGCGGCACCCAGGGCATCTACGTGAACACGGGGGCGGTCTACATGGGCGGCGCCCTGGTGGCGGACCCCGGGCTCGTGACGACCAGCAGCTGGCTGCAGCTGGTTGGCGGCACGCAGGGCGTGCAGCACCAGTGCGAGAGGATGCAGGTGACGGGCAATCAGTCCATCGTCACCGCCGAGGTCGAGAACACCTCGGCCACGGGCTTCGCCAGGCTGCGGCTGCTGGCCAACGGGGGTTTGGGCGGTGCGGACCTGGAGGTGGCCTCTACCGGCGGTTGCACCCTGGCGAGCATCAACCAGACCATCAGCTTGACGAACGTGAGCGGCGGCTTCAGCAGCGCCAATGTGATCATCTACCCCCAGAGCAACCCGTCGCTGCCCGGCTGGATGGTGGCCACCTACGGCTTCACGGAGCTCTCGGATCGGAGCGTGAAGACCAATGTGCGGACGCTGAAGCACCGGGACATGCGGGAGATCTTCGATGCAGTGGAGGCCAAGATCTACGACCGGTCCGACAGCGGGCAGAAGGACCAGGTGGGCTTCATCGCCCAAGAGGTCCAGGCGGCCGGGAAGCTCGGCCCCATGTTCACCCACGAGACGGACGAGGGGCTGCTGACGTTGAACTACCAGCGCATGGTGGCCGTGCTTTGGGGCACGGTGAAGGAGCTACAGAAGCGGGTCGAAAAGCTCGAGAAGAAGGCTCGCAAGGGAGACTCGGACTGAGACGACAAAAGCGCAGCCGAGGCACCTTCCGATCGTAGAGAAGGCGGTGCGGTCATAGGCGTCGCCTGAGAAGCTGATCACAGCGTCCGAATCGCCCACAGCCAGCCTTGCGGTGCCCGGTAGCGAGCGCAGGTGCGCGTCAGCCAATGGACCACATCCTGGCGGCAGGGCGAGCGCATCAAGCAGGAACCCCGCCCAGCCCCTGCCGCGCCTTGCCGTTTGCAGCCCTTTGCACGAAAGCAGCGCATGCACCTCAGTAAAATGGCAGAGGACGGGGCAATGGAGCTTTTAGGGAGGCTGGCTAGAGACTTCAACGTCAGAGACCCTCGAAAGCTCTACCAGATCGCTCGACGGGAGTTCCCGGAGCGACGCGACCTAACGAGCGCACGAGCCGCGGCAGCGCTGCGCAGCGACGTGGCGCGGCAGGTGCTGGCGCCGAAGCCGCGGAGTCTCGGGAAGAGCGCGGCGGAGGGGCCCAACGACCGGTTGCAGGCGGACCTGATCGACTTCAGCCAAAACACCCGGAGCCGCAACAAGTTCGGCCTGGTGGTCACGGACGTGTTCACCAGGGAGGTGGCCACCAAGGCCCTGCCCGACAAGCGGGCGGAGACGGTCACCCGAGCGGCGGCGGAGATCATTCCGGATTTGGTCCAGGACGAAACCAACATCGTGGTGACGACAGACATGGGGAACGAGTTTCGAGGTCTGGAGGCCGCCCTGCCCGGAGGCGCGGTGCACCGCCAGAAGGATCCCTCGGACAGGAATGCGACGGCGGTGGTAGACCGCGCCATCCAGACGCTCAAGAAGGACCTGGCCGGGGAGGTGGCCCGCAGCGGCGGCGGCTGGGGCGACCACGTGGACGACGTGGCGGAGGCCTACAACGCCCGGCCGCACGCCGCGGTCACGGTGGCCCCCGAGGACGTGGAGACCAAGCCGGCCGCCAGCTTCCGCGTGTACCAGGACAACGCGGAGAAGTTCCAGCACAACAAGGACCTCACGGAGGGCCGGCAGCGGCGCCTCGAGGAGGCCGGCGCCTTCCGCGCCCCGACGAATGCGGCGAGAAGCTTCCAGCCACACTTGGATCGTCGGGCTGGCTTATAAGTGTTTAAGCGACTTAGATAAATGATTAGACGTGAAATATCCGTTTGCAGCACTTACACATAAGTAACTTACAAGGGTTATGTAAGTGGTACTAAGTCGGTTACATAAGTCCACTTGGTAAGTCATCGTGGTGACTTATAAGTCACTTAGGGTAAGTCCTATAAGTAAATCTTGGCAGTTATTGGCTTGTGCTCACCCCGGTCAAAAAAGTTTATTGAAAAATAAACTGTCCGCGTGCAAGTTTATTAAAAAATAAACTTGCAACGCGCAAGTTTATCAAAAAATAAAGTTGCCATGCGCAAGTTTATTAAAAAATAAAGTTGCCATGCGCAAAGTTAGTGGAAAATAAACCAGCGCTGGACCCGACCACAGCTAGCTAAATCGACTGTAAGTCACTTACGAGACTTACGATAAGTGCACTTATACGACTTGCCGTAAGCGATGTATCTGATTAACAAGTGCTGGGAGATTACTTATATCTACTTATAGTAAGTCACCTAAAACCATTACACCACTTATCCATAACTCCCTCCTGGCAAATACTAAGTGGCATATTCATTTAGGCCACTTAATAGAAGAACCCTCGTCAGTTATTATGTCTCCTAAACAAAAGATAATTAAATATCAGACAAACTAGACTTAGTAAGTAATGTTATCACACTTGTTAAATTGATATACTTGATATAACAAGTCCTTTGGCCCACATAGCAGCAATCCCCCAAGTCTGGTAAACACTTATAACCGACAGCGACGATCCAAGCAGTACGGCCCCGCGAGGGACGTGGCGAGCTTCGACTCCATGACGGTCCGCGCCACCGACGGCAGCGAGACCCTGCTCAAGCACGCCCTGCCCGTGCCCCGTGGCTCCGGCGAGCCCGTGGCCCGGCTGACTCGGCGGCCGGAGCCCCTGGCCGTGCGCCAGCTCAGAGACTTCAACCGCCCACCCCAACCCCCGCGACTGCTCACGTGACCCCGAAATTGTCAACCCAATTGTCAACCTAATTGTCAACCTAATTGTCAACCCCACTCGCGCGTCCTTGTTTTGCCGGCGGGCAGGCCTGTGCGCTTCGCCTACCTACCAACCTCGTCCTACCTCGTCCGCGGGCCCGGCCTGTACGATCTGCCTTCGCCCGGCTCAGTCCTCGTCGTCCTCCTCGGATGCCTGGTCGAAGAAGCCGCCGGCCAAATGCTGCCCAACCAGGTCCGCCATGTACTCCGTCGCATCTTGAAGGCTCTCCGGCGAGAAAGCAGGAGCCTCGCCGTAGAGCGGCAGCTCCGGGGCGCCAGCGGGCCGCTCGGGCAGGGCGGCGTCGACCAGGTCGAGGTACTCGTCGGTCTCTCCCACCACGCGAACCGCCCCAAGCGCCCAGCTGGCGGGCACCACCGGGCGCTCCAGGACCCAGCTGGCGCGCAGCACGTCGCGCATCTCGATCTCGTCGCAAACGCCCGCCAGGCGCCCCGCGCGCTGCAGCTGAAAGCGGACCTCGAGGCGCCGGTGCGGCGGGACCGCGCCGCAGAGGAGGCACTGCAGGATGATCTTGGCCCAGGCGCGGTAGTCCCAGCCGCGCTGCCACTGGCGGCTGTACTGGAGCAGCGGCTGCGGCCGCTCCGTGAACTCCCGGTGCAGCGGAAAGGTGATCTCGAAGAGCCACCCCAGGACGAATTGGCCGGATGCAGCCATGGCTTCCAAGTCGAAAGCGGAGCGATGAGGCGGAGCGAGCGGAGCACTGAAGCGGCTTCGGGGCGAGATGCGTGCGCTTGCGTCCCTAAAGCTGCATGGCGGGCGGTCTCTTTTTGCTCAGTAGGCGCGGGCGACGGCCCTCAGCTCCTCCAGGTAGTCGGCCCTCAGGCAGACGCTCGGCAGCGCAGCGCCCGGCGCCGGCAGGTCGTAGTACAGGTATAGAGGATCTCCAGGTCGCCGGCCGGCGGCGGCTCCGCCAGCGCCTCCAGCAGCCGCCCGTGGCGCTCCACCACGTGCAGCCCGCAGTCCGGGTTGTACCTCAGAAACCGCAGCTTGCCGGGGGGCCGGCTTCGCGAGCGGAAGATCTCGACCATGCGGCGGCACTCGTCGGCCGGCTCCCTGGAGGCGTGCTGTCCCTCGTCCACCTCCAGGGCGATGAGCCCCCAGTCGCGCTCCACAGCGAAGTCCAGCAGCGCGTGGCCGCCATGGCTGGAGCCATCCGTGAAATCTACGCGGAGCTGCGCACGGAAGGGCAGCTCCTCCCGGCGCAGCAGACGTTCCACGCACGCCTCCCGGCCGCTGCGGTGCACGAAGCCCCGGCGCTCGTGGATGGCGGCGTGGGCGCGGAGGTCCGCGGCTTTGTGGAAGGTCTGGCCGCAGAGGCCGCAGCAGTGCGGGCGCACGTTCTCGTGCGCGAGCCTGACGTGCTCTCGCAGCCCCGAGGCGAAGCCGAAGCGCTTCTGGCAGTGCGGGCACGCGTGGTCCCGGCGGCCCTCGTGCACGGCGGCGACGTGCTCCCGGAGCCCGGCGGCCCGGGTAAATCTCTTTCCGCACCTAGGGCACTCCATGGTTCGAACCAAAGGCTGCGGCGCTGCATCCCTGGAGGGGGGTTCCGGGGCACTGCACACGACAAGCTCGAAGGTTTTTTGCGCCGCACTCTGTCCGTTGGGGCGCTCGGCGATCTGCCTAGACGAAGGCGATCACGTGCACCTCGCTCAGGGGCACAGCAGCTCCACTTCGGAAGCGCAGGACCTTTGCATCCGGATCGTAGGCCTCATAGTCGGAATGGAAGCCATTGGTGAACCTCACCCAGCGAACGCCGCTGGACGGGTTGGCCTGGAGCACGGCGGCGAAGTCGCTCAGCACGAGGAGCTGCCCGTCGCGCTCCCAGCACAGGGCGCCGTGGACGTTCTTGGGAGCCGGCACAAACATGCGGAGCCGCCTCGTTGTTGCGCGCCTGCAGCCGTAGAACTCGAGGGACTCGCCGCCGCGACCCTTCACCACCATCTCCGGGACAACCGTCACCTTCTCATGCTTGCCCCACTTGCGGTGGTCCGCGTAGATGTGGAAAAGAGCCTCTTCCCACAGGATGTTCATGAGCAAGCCGGCCTGGTAAATGAGGTCGTCGGGGACCTGCGCGTGCTCTTCGTCGCCAAGCAGGATGTCGAAGCCGGCGTCGCCCAAGATGCGCACCCTCTGGAGGCCGTCCTCGGACTCCTCGGTGTCTTCAGACTCCTCGGTGTCCTGGGGCTCCTCGGGGGCGGCGGGCTCCTCGGCAGGGACCGGCTCCGGGATTGCAACAGCGGCGGGCTCCTGCGGCTCCATGGCCGGCTCCACGATCTCCTCGAGGACAGCGGCGGCGGGCTCCGGGACGATGGCAACAGCGGCGGGCTCCACGGGCTCCTGCGGGACCTTCTCGGGGGCAGCGACGGCGGTGGGCTCTTCCACGGCGGGCTGCTCCTCCGGCGGCTCCACGATCTCTTCGGGGGCAGCGGCCTCCATGGGTGCGTCCTCAGCCTCGGGGGCAGCGGCGGGCTCCTGCTGCGGGACCTCCTCGATGGCCGCGGCGAGCTCCGGCACCTCCGGGGCGGCGGCAGGCTCCATGGTGGCCTCGGCGGCTGGCTCCGGGACGGGACGATGGCAACAGCGGCGGGCTCCTCGGCGGCGGGCTCCAAAGCGATGGCGGTGGGCTCCATGGGTGCCTCGGCATCCATGGCGGCGTCCATGGCGGCCGCGGCGGCCTCGGCGTCTTCAAGGGCAAGGACGGCGGGCGCGGCGGTGACGTGATCCTGCAGCCGCAGCTGCAGCTTCCTGGCATAGATCGGCACCTTGTCGCGGCAATCCGCGGGGAGGCAGCCGTGCAGGCCACCGGCGTCCACAACCTTGAGGTGCGGGAAGGGAGCCTTGTCCCGCAGGAACTTGATCATCTCTGGCACGTCGTGGACCTTCACAAGGCCGGGAGCGAGGACGCTGCAGGCCATCCCGTGGACCAGGAGCTTCGAGCCCTTGGCGAGGTGTTCCTTGACCGGGACCTCAGGCAAGCGGGGCCTGCCGCTCAGCTGCACGCGGACGGCGACCACGCGGCTCAGCGTCTTGTCGTCTTCGTCCAGGAGCTTGGCGGGGCGCTTGCCGTCGCTCACGACGCGGGCGGGCACGAACTTCTCGGCGCCCTTGTTCAGCGCGAAGACTGTGGCGGCATCGGCGAGCTTCTTGAGCTGCTCCTGGCCGATGCCCACGAGCTGCACGAGGCTCGGGGTGCCCAGCAGCACCAGGCGGCAGCGCACGCCGTTGATCTCGAGCTCGGCGTCGACCTGGTGGTGCTGGGCCCAGGCGATGCCCTCGCCGCGGAGCACCACGCCGGCGACCTCGACGTCGCCCTCCTGGCGCTCCACGCGGTAGGGCTCCTCGAGCTTGCGCCGCTTCTCCGCCGCCCGGTCCTCCTCGCGCCTCTGCTTGGCTGCAACCTTCTTTTGCTGGCGGTGCTCGAAGATTTGCTGCTCGTGGAACTCGACGGTGCCCTCCTGGGGGACCACGCGATCCAGCTTGGCCTCGAGGCCGTCGATGCGGCGGTCCATGTGCTGCTTCATTTCGGCGGTGCCGCGGCGGACCTCCTCCGCGTTCACGGCGGACAGGCGCTGCTGCGACAAGATCACCCGGTCGGACTCAGCGCTGGTGTGGCAGATCACCCGGTTCGACTCCGCGGTGGTGTGGCGGCGGTTGGCGATGCCCTGCTGGCACTGGAGCTTCTTGTCCGCCAGCTCCTTCTCGAGCTCCTCCCTCTCGCCCGGAAGCAGCTCGCGAAGAGGGTGCTCGGGGTCGAGGAGCTTCTTCAGGTAGCGGATGCGCCTGTTCTCCGGTGCTGGCTGGTTCGGCATGGCTGCCTAAGTTGCCTACGGATCGGACGAATGGCTTTTCGAGCACTGGAGATCTGAGAGGCACCGGTGCGAACGCGCGCGGGTTGGGTTGACAAAGAGGTTGACAAAGAGGTTGACAAAGGGGTTGACAAAGGTGGGGTTGACAATTTTGGGCGAGGCAACTCGCGGACGGCCCGCGGGCCCAATGCTCCGGCCCGTGACCGTAGGTCGGCGCCCGCCTCGTTCGCGGCCCGTGGGCCTTCCGGCCCGCAGGCCCTATGCTCCGGCCCGTGGCCGTAGGTCGGCGCCCGCCTCACACGCGGCCCGTGGGCCCAATGGTTCGTCGGTCGGCGCCCGCCTCAATGTTCTCGGCCCGTGGGCTCTCCGGCCCGTGGGCCAAATGCTCCGGCGCTCCGGCCCGTGGGCCCAATGGTGCTACCACCTACACTTTTTACAGGCTGATGTGCAGCGCGCGGTCGGAGTACCAGCCGCCGCTGTGCGCGCTCACCAGCCGGCGGCACGCCGCCGCCGGATCATCCTCGGCCAGGAAGCCGCAGCCCCCCGCAGAGATCCAGCTGAAGCGGAACCGCAGCGTTTGCGGCTCCGCCCAGCTCTCCATCAGCGCAGCCAGCGCGTCTTCCTCCAGCTCGCCCTGACACAACGGTGGGGTGAGGTTCCGAGGCTGGGGTGGGAGGCGGCCTCGAAGCAGATGGAGACGTGGAGCGGCACCTCCGGGGAGCTCCACGGCAACCGCAGGGGCGAAGGTGCGTCCAGCACCAGTGCCAGCAGCCGGGGACCGTCCCCCCAGGCCGCCAGCCACCGCAGTGCCGCGGTGCTTTCGAACCCTTCGCGGATCAAGCGGTCCTAACAGCCAGCAGGAAGCAGCGAGAGCTGAACACAGCGAGCCCCAGCCTTCTCCGCGTAGAAGATCTCGTCCGCGGGGCGCTCGCGGTACCAGCTATCCTCCGGCTCCTCCGCCATGCTTCGAGCAAAAGGCTGCGGGCACGAGGCCCCAATGATCCGGGCACGAAGCCCCAATGTTCGCGGCCCTCGGGCCCAATGCTGCTCCGCAGAGCCAATTTAAGCCCCTCGGTCCCCTATATAATAAGGGGAACAAGGTCGCTCCAAGGAGTTTTTTATTCCGATCCGGCTTGGGCCCTTGGGCCCAATGCGCCCCCGGCCAATTTAAGCCCGTCGGTCCCCTATATAGTAAGGGGAACAAGGTCGCTCCAAGGAGTTTTTTATTCCAATCCGGCTTGGGCCCTTGGGCCCAATGCTGCTCCGAAGAGCTGATGGTGCTCCGAAGAGCTGATGGTACTCCGAAGAGCTGATGGTGCTCCGAAGAGCTGATGGTGCTCCGTGGAGCTGATGGCGCTCCGTGGAGCCTATGGTGCACCACACGATCCCGTTCCTCGATCCGTCGCGGCCTGCCTGTTGTTTTGTCGCGTCGTTGTGGGGTCCTGGGCTTAGCCCCTCGCCATCTCCAAGTGTTGTGCCGGGAGGAGGGCCCGGGACTCGCGAGTGGTGCTCCCGCTCGGCCCCCCTCCTCGGCTTTTTTGGGGTCCTAGGCTTAGCCCCTCGCCATGACGCTTGTGCCGGGAGGAGGGACCGGGACTCGCGCGGGCTGCTCCCGCTCGGCCCCCCTCCTCGGCTTCCCTTGGGGTTCTCGGCTTTGCCCCTCGCCATTCCGATGCGCACGGCGGGGCCAGGGGGGACCGGGACTCGCGAGTGGTGCTCCCGCTCGGCCCCCCTGGCCCCTCTTTTTAACCCGCCGCGTGAAGTCGCGACGGTGGCCGCCCCAGCGGCGGCTGCACCTGGGCGCCGCGGAGGGGGCCGGGGATCCCGGATGCAAGGCAGCCTAGGGGGACCCCAAGGGGTTCGGGACCTAAAAACCCCCAGAACCCCAAAACCCTCAGCAGAAGCCCTCGCGCCTACGAAAACCCCGGCCTTCCAACCTTAGAAATGACCCTGAACAAAAAACCCGAAGCCTTGCGCGCACAGTCCACTGCCTCGCTGCCTAGGAAATCCAAAAAACCGCCTCGGAACACCCTGAAGCCCAGGGGGGAGTGCCCGGCACGACGAGGAGACGGTCCGGACCTGGGCAAGGGGAGGAGCAGGGGGCGGGGAGGGAGCGCAAACCACAAGCACGCACAACACTGCCTCGCAACCTCCGAGCCCCAAAGACCTGCAAACCGAACAAACCCTGAACCTCGCGCGCACAGACACTCCTACCTGCACTCCTAGTGGCGACCCTCCTACGGCTACACTGCGGGAGCCCGGCCGCGAGCGAAGAGGACCTGGGCGGCGAGAGCAAGGAGGAGGGAGAGGGTCGGGGAGGGGAGCGCGCAAACACTGCCTGGCAGCCTCGGAGCCCAAACCACCTGAAACCGAACAAACCCTGAACAAACCCCGAAGCCTCGCACGACAGAGCACTCCTACCGGCGACCCCTCCTACCGCAGCACTCTGAGTTCCCGGCCGCGCCCCGCCCGCCCCGACCGCCCGCCCCACCCAGCCCGCCCCACCCAGCCCACCCCCGGCCCGGCTTGAAGCAAAAAGGCAGAAGAAGCACAGAGTTGAAGCAGCAGAAGCAAAAGGGGGTCGGGACCTAAGGCAGGGACGAGGGGTTCGGGCTCCTACGGGGGTGGGGCTCGTCGCGCACTCACTTGCATGCAGGGCACTTGGCTGGCACTCCTACCGCGGGGGCTTCCAAAAGGGTTAGGGACCCCGAACTCCCGGAACACCTAAACCCCCAACCAACCACCGCGGCGCATTTTTCAAAAATCTCAGAGAACCTCACCTCCTCAGCGGTTCGTTGTGCTAACGTGTGTGCCGACGTGGCTGCTGCGTACCGTTGCTGTTGTGCTGCTGTGTGTGCTGTGTGCTGTTGTTGTTGTTGTTGCTGTTGTTGTTGGCACACACATCAGAAAGGATTCCCCAGGATCTGGACCTCATAGTTGCTGAAACCCTCAGAATGCCGATAGCAAACCCGGCATGCCATCTCCATGATCGTCTCCTCCACCGGGTGGCGGCTTCCCCCCCAACGGTGTGTCAGGGGCCTCCGTCCTGACCTTCCGCCTTTTCTTTTCCTTCTTCTCCTTTTTCTCTGCCCTGCGCTTCTGCTGGGCTTCTGCTTCTCTTGGCGGGGGCGCAGCTTCCTCACTCGGAGCTCCTGGCCGCGGTGGCGGGGGCGCAGCTTCCTCACTTGGAGCTCCTGTTTGCGTTGGCGAGAGCACAGCTTCGTCACTCGAAAGTCCTGGCCGTAGTGGGGCTGGCGATGGCAAAAACCGACCATCAGATCCGCGGGCAGGGCCGGCGGGTGGCGGCAAAACCCCCCAAGCTTCGCAGGGCAGCCTTGTCGAGTCCGCCGGCAAAGGCTGTCTGCAGGCGCTGCATGCCTTGCAGCGCACGCGCCTCGGTTTGCGATCTCCGAGCAACCCTCCAGGAGTTCCAGGGCCTGGCTTCGGCGTCACGGAGCCCATGGATTGTCGGAGGCTTTCCTGGACCAGCGCTGTGAGCTGCTGCACCGCCGTCCTCCATTGCTTCTGGTCCGCTGAAGCCGATGCCCGGGCAGCCGAGGCATCTGAGCGGCGTTGGCGGTCGTAGAGCTCGAGGAACTCCTGGAACGCCTGCTGCTGCCTCTGCTGCTGCTGGCCCAAGACAAGCAGGTTCTGAAGGACCTGGACCAAAAGCGGCGACCCCTTCTCCAGCCCACGGGCTTCGGCGTCCCTGGTCGCCAGCCGCTCTGCCACGCGGCGATCGATCTCTGCCTCCTGCGCCAGCTGCCGCCGGAGACGGTAGCGCGCGTTGAGTGCATCCTCTTCTCTGTGGCGCTGCTCCCGCCTGGCCTCCAAAGCTTCAAGGCCACGCCGCTGCGCAGCCGAGTCAGCCGGCTCTCCAGCGGGCACTCCATCGGGCACTGCAGCCGCTCCAGTGGGCACTTCAGCGGACTCGGGGCCTTCAGCCGCTCCAGTGGGCACTCCAGCGGGCTCTTCAGCCGCTCCAGCGGGCACTCCAGCAGGCGCCTCTTCAGCCGCTCCAGTGGGCACTCCAGCAGCCTCTTCAGCCGCTCCAGCGGGCACTCCAGCGCTGTGCTCTTCAGCCGCTCCAGTAGGCACTCCAGCGGTGGGCTCTTCAGCCGCTCCAGAGGGCACTCCAGCGGTGGGCTCTTCAGCCGCTCCAGCAGGCACTCCAGCGGCCTCTTCAGCGGGCTCTCCGGACGAAGATGTGGAGGAGCTGCTGTCTCTGTCACACCTGTCTGTTGGATGCACCGCCAAGGGAGCATCAAAAACACTCCAAAGAGCCTCAGCGTCGGGCGTTGCCGTAGGAATGCTAGCCGTGGCGGTGTCCGCGGCTGCAACGGACCCTGTGGCCCCTGTGGCCTGCCCTGCGCCAGCCTCCGTCTGGCCCATGCTGCCTGTCCCTGTGACCAGCTCGACGCAAATCGCTGTCACGGCAGCTGCCACCAGAGGCCATTCCATCTTCATGACGTGCTAAGCTACCGTGAGTGGCTTTGCTGTGCTCCACAAGGCCTGCTGTGCTGCGATGCCGTGCCGTACCCTGAAAATGCGACTGCTGCTGACGGCCCTCACTTGAACCGCGGGCACGGGATTTGCCATGAAGTCGGAAAGGGCGGGGGTGTCTGTGGGATAAGGCTCTCCAGCTACTTGCTCGCCCTCGCACTCATGTCAGATCCATGATGTGCAAAATCCTGCAAAATGAGCACGCATGCGCGAAATGCAAACGGTCGGACGGCGGCGGCTACGTCGGCGGCTACGGCGGCGGCTACGGCGGCGGCTACGGCGGCTCCGGCGGCTCCGGTGGTAGCTCTGGCAGTGGTCCGGCGGTGACTCCGGCGGTGATTCGGCGGTGGTACGGGTGGCTCCGGCAGCGGTCAGGGTGGGTTGACAATCGGGTTGACAATCGGGTTGACAATCGGGTTGACAATTTCCTTGGTGGGCTACGGTGGGTGCTACCGTGGGTGCTACCGTGGGTGCTACCGTGGGTGCTACCGTGGGTGCTACCGTGGGTGCTACCGTGGGTGCTACCGTGGGTGCTACCGTGGGTGCCACCGTGGGTGCTACCGTGGGTGCTACCGTGGGTGCTACCGTGGGTGCTACCGTGGGTGCTACCGTGGGTGCTACCGTGGGTGCTTTACAGTGAAGACCTCAGGACGCAGGGTCAAAACTCCCGTTGGATTTTCGCAACCTAAACACGGTGGTTGGGTTGACAATCGGGTTGACAATCGGGTTGACAATTGGGTTGACAATCGGGTTGACAATTGGGTTGACAATTGGGTTGACAATCGGTTTGACAATTCACGGCGCGGGTGGGGTTGACAACTAACGCGCGGAGTGGACGCAGAGCCCAGAAACCGCCGAAAAGCTGCGGCCTCTCTCTTATGAAGCGGGGTGTTGGACCCACAGTCGATCATCTAGAAGGAAGCTGATTCAAAATCGAAAGGGTGTTGAGCCTACAGCCTCGGGCCAAAAACGAAAGATCGATGGGGCTCAGGGCCGTAGGACGCAACGATCTTCGGCCTTTTAGCCCCAAAATTTTCCTCGCAATCGGAGCTCGACGATTGTGGACTCTCTCGCTACCCTCACTCTCTCACTCCGCTCTCTCCGCTCGCTCGACTGCCGCAATCTGGATGGCTGTGGGTGTGTGTGTGTGTGGAAAGGCTGGGAGTGTGGGTGGGTGTGCTGTTTCAAAAAATGTTGTTACAGTCTTTTCCTTGGATCAAACTTTTTGGAACTGCCATGGCGCGAACAGCGACGACAGCAATGGCTGCTCGTTGGGAAGTTGGAGGGCAAGTTCAGAGGTCCAGCAGGCGTGATCGCAGAATTAGATCCAGGCACAGGACACGTGTGCAGCCGCTGCTCTGGCCGTACCAGTGCAAAGAAGCGGAAGGCACAGGACACGTGTGCAGCCGCTGCTCTGGCCGTGGCGCCAGAATTCCAAAGTTACGGCAACCTGGAGCTCGGAATGAGGAAGATGATCGGACGGAGCCAGCTTCTTCCTCCAGAGCAAAACCCATGAAGAGACCTGCGGCTGCAGCCTTGCAAGACATGTTTGAATCCAAAAATGAGGTGCCGCGACGTGCGTACACTGATCCTCGCCAGGAAAGTCCACAGCGAAAAAGAAGCAGACAAGCAACTTTGAGCAGATCGTCTTTGACCCAGCGTTTCTCTCTGGACGCATTTTGACTTCTTCTAACTGCTTGAAATTCTGATTGACTTGGGCATGGTGAAGGATGGAGGACTTGATGCTTGTGAATGGTGTGCAGCCACAAACTGGCGTATCGAGTCCAAGGGAGACCACGCTTGTTTTCGATGCAAGAACAAGGATTGTCGGGCATCTAAGTCGGGTTTGAGCGAAGACCAGGACATCTTCGGCAAAAAGATCGCCCTTCGTTCCTTGGTTGGTGCTCTCTGGCTGTTTCTTGCACCCATTCAGATGAGTCCAGATCAGACTGGATTGATCTTGGGTTTGGATCATCGGACAGTGCGGGGTCTCTTCAACAACTTCCGCTCTTGGTTGAGTCCAATAGTTGACCGGCTGAACGAGGACTGACAAACTTTTATGCTTGGCTTGATTCTTAAGGCCATGACAAGATTTAGAAGTTGTAGTTACAACTTTAAAGTGCTCGATGAAGGACTTGGTGATTGGTGCGTTGGGTGCAGATGTGGAGCTCGATGAGATTAGCTTCAGATCGAAGGCGCTTGACGACAAGATCCTGTGGAATCGTTATGCCAGCCGTCAAGCGTGGAAGTGCTAAAGTCTTCATAGAGAAGTTGCCGAACCGCTTGACTGCTGCTGGGCAGGGGGGAGGGGGATCTCTGTCCATTGATGAGCTGAAGAAGCTTGTAGTCACATTCAAGGGAAGCAGTCGCTTGGCACAAGGTTCTGTGTGCCATACGGATTCCGCTAAAGCTTACAAGCAGTTGGCCTCTGACGAACCGTTGCCAGCTTTTACAGCGGTGCCTTGGCAGGGCCTTCGTTTTCTGAGTTGAAGCTAGCCCACAGCAACGTCAAGCATAAGCCGCCTCACCCAGAGTTTGCCCGAACGTTCCGAATGAAAGTTTGGACAGGGCGCGCTTGGACCGAAGAAATTAGGGTAGGTGGCACTCAGAAGCTTGATGGCTTCTTCGCATCGTTTAGAAGAGAGGTGGGCAAGCGGTCTTTCAACACAACAGGACCCACTCCTGAAACAGCGCAAACTTTCGAAAAGCAGCTTCACGAAAGGATGCGGGTGTTTCAGTTTTTGTTTTGGTTTTCCTATGCAGACTGTTTCCAAGTTTTCGCAGCACTTCGCCAGGCATTCCAATTCGGTTGCTCAGCTGAAATCGCAACTGCGCCGCTGCCAGCGAAGAAATATGCTTTGCAGCTCTTCTGTTTGAACTTTGCGAATTTTAGGACCTTTAGGACTTAGGTTCTGTTAGAGATTTTGTTTTTAGTTTTTGTGATAGCAAAAATGGGTTTTGGGTGCTTTGGCCAAGAAGTCAAAAGACCATACGTGGTTTTGAGAGTTTGGCTCTGACTTTAAAGGTGGTGTTGACTGTTCGGTCTCGCATTCACAGCAGCAGACGTGCTTCTGAGAGACTTGACCTGAGACCCCAAGGTTTTGAGGCTGTGTTGACTGTCTGGACCCAAAGTCAAAGTAGCAGACGTGGTTCTGGGAGACTTGACCTGACAGGCGAAGGTTTTGAGGTGGTGTTGACTGTCTGGATTCGCAGTCGCAGTAGCAGACGTGTTTCGGTGAGACTTGACTTTGGAGTCCAAAGTCAAAGTAGCAGACGTGGTTATGGGAGACTTGACCTTAGAGGACAAGGTTTTGAGGCGGTGCTGACTGTCTGGACCCAAAGTCAAAGTAGCAGACGTGGTTCTGGGAGAATTGACCTGACAGGCGAAGGTTTTGAGGTGGTGTTGACTGCCTGGATTCGCAGTCGCAGTAGCAGACGTGTTTCGGGGAGACTTGACTTTGGAGTCCAAAGTCAGAGGCAGACGTGGTTATGGGAGACTTGACCTTAGAGGACAAGGTTTTGAGGCGGTGATGACTGTCTGGACCCAAAGTCAAAGTAGCAGGCGTGGTTCTGGGCCTGACAGGCGAAGGTTTTGAGGTGGTGTTGACTGCCTGGATTCGCAGTCGCAGTAGCAGACGTATTTCGGTGAGACTTGACCTTGGAGTCCAAAGTCAAAGTGGCAGACGTGGTTCTGGGAGACTTGACCTTGGAGGCAGGTTTTAAGGCACAGATGTGGTGTTTGGAGGCCTGCCTTCCAGGCAAGGGCTTGGCAACCAAGTCAGGGTGTGCGCCGCTCCAGGCGCCACGCCTGCAGAAAAGTGCGCCAAAGGAGCCGGCGGAGCGGTTTTGGGTGCGCTTGCCAGCGAAAAAGGGGGCGTGGCATCTGGAGCGGCGCGGCGTTTTAAGTGGTTAAGTTTATCGCGCGACGCCGAGCCCGGCGCGTTTTATAGACCAGTGCTTGAACCCGGAAATCGAACACCAGTGTTCGAACTCGAGGTTGACACTGGTGTTCGAACTTGGGGTTCAAACACCAGTGTTCGAACTCGGAGTTTGAACACTGTGTTCGAACCCGGAGTTCAACTCCGGTTCCAGGTGTTCGAACTTGGGGTTCAACCCTAAGTTCTAGTGTTATGTTCTCCGCCCCCCCCGGGGCCCTCCCAAGTGTTCGAACCCAGGGTTCCGGAACACTGCAAAAACCTATGCTCAGGGTTGCCAACACAAATCGCATGCCCTACAACCTGATTTTTGCCATCTGTTGCACCAACATTTGCGACTTAGAACAAGCTTTGAAGCAACTTACTTGCAGTCCAATTTTGTTGCTCAGTTGGTAACCGCTCGAGGTTCTCCTGCGGGTTTGTCCTACGCTTTCCGGAGACTCCAAATCCCTTTAATTGAGGGTAGGGACCAAACTGGACGCCCTTAAACGCTCCTTCAAGCCCTAAATGGAGTCCATTATATTCATTTAACCCCCTTATTCCCGTAAAGCAACGTTGGTGCAAAGCGCGCTGTTGATGCTTGAGCAACCTTGCTATTGGGAGAAAGGGGGTGGCGCACACTCCGACTGCTCATAAGGCTCGTCTGCGGCCAAGTTTCCGGAGCTAGAATCCGGTCACACATGTAGTGTGGACACAGGTTCTCTCAACTGTACGTGACGGTTGGATTGGTGAACCCGAGTAAGCGTCCGTGCGACACAATCTTGCAGCTGGTTCCAGGTCCCATGTTTGGCGATGTCGTAGTTTGTTTTCTGGTTCCGATTTTAAGCCGAAAAATAGGAGCTCCAAGTGGAAGAGGTCCGCAAACTAGACCCACTTTCCGAACTTCAACTGCACCGAAACACAACTAGTGCAGGAACTCTCACCTTCAGCGGTTCCGCGAGACACTACGTCTACTGCTTACGGAGCCAGAAACAGCTGGTGGATCTGGCTTTTGGTTGAGCGTAAACCTAATTCGTTTGAAGTGGCTTCTGAATCGTTCAATGTGTTGTCTTGGGTTTTTAAAAAAAAGTTTGTCTTCTAAACATTAAAAGTTCGCGTCTGGCGCCACTCTTCTTCGGTGTTTCAGGCATGGCTGCTAGAGTCGAGACAACTGGTGAGTTGAGTCTGTGCGAGAAACGAGTTGCTTTTAGTGATCCTTTGGCTGACAGATCACTTGCAAATCTGGACCCGATTTCTTGCCTGAGCACTGCAAAGTCTGTTTGGAAGCAACTCCACCAATTGGCGAGGCTCTCTTTCGGAGTCAGAGCAGCTTGTTGTCGCCTCCGTTCTTGGTGCCTGATTTCAAACTCTGGTAGTGACCGAACTTCGGTTAGGGTGAGAACAACGCCGTTCTTGCGATGGAAAAACTTCACTCCTACCTGCATGGCCCTGCGTGGGTTTACTGCCACCATGGACGAGCTTTCTCTGAAACTAGAGATGGTTTCCCACAGTCGCTGAACGAAGCAGATATGCTACCGTCCCTCTCTGCCTTGCCACAGCACTTGGAGATTTTATTCTGTGGCAGAAGGCCTCGTTTATAGCTTCTTATAGTGGAAAAAACTTACTGCGCCAGAGAGTTCTGCAGCCGCGCATGCATGCAAGCCACAGCAACTACCCGCCCAATCTACGATGCACAGGTGCACTGGTAGCCACTTTTTGGCGGAAGATATTTCTCAGTCGCCATGTACTGTTCTGAAAGATTCTGTCTAATGACAAGTCGGAACTTTGCGGATCTGATGGGTTTCCGTAGAAACTATTCGCAAACTCGGCCCGAATGCACGATTGACAACTTGCAGTTTGCATCTTGGAAGAACCTCACGAGGCTCTGTGCTACACAACATGTTTGTCTTGCCATGTGCGAGACACAGCGAACCATGACACACCGGCACCCAAGGCCGATGGGTCTAAGAGTCCGCCGCCGGTGCCCGTCAATTTGTCGGAAAGCGGATCTAGCACGGATCGGACACTATGAGGTCCGGATAAAGCATCTGGAGTGCCAGTGAAAGGAGGAACCTCAGGAGGAGTTCTTTCCCTGGAATTCCCACCAAAGGCAGTGACCTCCACGATTTCCCATCCGGAAACTGGAAAATTTCATGTCACGAGCACTAAACCAGCAGAAGTTACTTCGCCGTCAGCAAACACCAATAATGAGTTGGAAATGGCGCCTGGAATGCCCCTACTGTGCAAACTGGTGCCAATCATTCGTCGCTCAAGACTCTGAAGACACAATCGCTTCCCACTTTGCAGCTTGCAGCCTTGAGGGACGGAGCGTGTGCGAGTGCAGTGGTGTTAAGGCCGGCTTGCCGTGAAGAGTGACTGCCCAAGTGGTAAGCAGGGCAATAGGTCGATCCCTTGCAAAGCGTGGACATAAGTTTCACCTCAGACAATCCTTTCCCGCTGCGTGTGAATGAAATGTTGCTGTTGTTGTTGTTGTTGTTGTTGCTGTTGTTGTTGTTGTTGGTAGGTGTTAGCCGCTATGGATCACAGCAGGCTGTGTAGCTTTGCTAACAAGGCTCTGGGTACCAACGCTAGAGGCTCGCAACGTCCCCCTTCTGCGAAGCTTAAGGGACCGTCCTCTTACTGAGCCATAGCCATCCCTGGAGCCACGTGTCGCTGTGATCTACCGGGTCCCAATTCCCGGGCCTCTGTCTGCAGTTACACAACATTGGCAAGAGGTAAGCGGTAGGGTTATCACCTTTCCGCGGGGTGAAAGGAGTCGGATCGAGTTTTCTCTTTCCGGCGAAACTAGCGGAAGGCGCGTCGACTGTGCCTCAGTGCTTTTCTCCTGCCGATGCTTTTACATTTACAAAAGGACCTGCCGCACCAAGCCATTCAAGGGGCGGCCCCAGTCATGGGTTGGCCATCTTCTGCACCTGGGTATCCTGAAGGAAGCTTTCGAGTTGAGGCCTCGTTCCGCTCCTCTCTTCGACTTCCCAGCTACACGACAAGACACCCAGGTACAGCTCAAGGTCTCTCCTGCGCAGTTTTGCTGGCGCTCTGGTTTTGCGCTTTAACTGGTACACCTCCGCAAGAAGGACACGGATCGTCTGGTATTCTCATGCAGTCTTCTTCGAGCACTAGTTTTTCCTTCAACGGCACAGTGGACTGCCACCGGCTGCTACGAAGCCAGTGCGATCGAGAGTTCTTCGTCACGGTTGAGTGTTTTCTGCGCTTCACTTCTGTTCAGCCGCCAGCGCCTGGGAGCAAGTCAGACTCAGGACAGGCTAGGCGCAACGTGGTGACTCACAACGCGTCAGCATCCTCCCAATGCTGGCCCCGAC